TAGCAGGTGTCTAACACCCAAATACCTATTTACTGCTTGGTGAACAAGTACATCAGTGTGAAAGAAATTACCCATTTGTTTCCGCCTCCGCCGGAGGATCGAACCCGGAACCTCACGACCACGAATCCGAAGCGCTGTCCACTCAGCTGTCAGGCTAAGTGAGACTGTAAGACTGATTCTGGCTATAAGTTCCTCAAGATGACACTATCAGTAATTCATTATCACTATCATTCACAAATCACTATCACTATCATTCTGTCTCGCTCTTGGACCATCTCTCAACACTTAAATGAGGTCACCCGACTACCTGAAGGCTCTGGCACGCCGTTGGCTCCTGGCTCATCCTGTACCTCACATAAGAGTAACTTAGCATTCTGTTTAGTTTATTCCTAATGGACATTAATAATAAGCTCATCAAATTAATGAGTTTCAAGGCTGGCGTGAGGCTACAGATGAGGTGATGCAGGAGAACAGCTTGTGCCCTGGAGCTTAATTGGGGACATCACCACCATGCTTAATGGTCCCTACTGTTTGTGTGAGAGAGAGAGAGACAGAGAGAGAGAGAGAGACAGAGAGAGAGAGGCAGACAGAGAGAGAGACAGAGAGAGAGACAGAGAGAGAGAGGCAGACAGAGAGAGAGACAGAGAGAGACAGACAGACAGGAGAGACAGAGAGAGAGAGGCAGACAGAGAGAGAGACAGAGAGAGACAGACAGACAGAGAGGCAGAGAGAGAGAGACAGAGAGGCAGACAGAGAGAGAGACAGAGAGAGAGACAGAGACAGAGAGAGAGAGGCAGAGAGAGAGAGAGTCCACTCCCCCGTGGGGAGGGAAGTACCTTGTTAGCATGGCTACAGGCGCTGGAATAATTTAACTTAGCCGCCGCGAGAGTCCCCAAATGCTGGGACCTGGTGCTAGGCGCGAGTGGGGCAACAATGGTGGGGAATATGAGGACAAAAAAAAAAAAATAGGCCTACTGACATGAGTGAAGGATTAAAGCAAGCTTAATGAGGCTTTCTAAATAAATTACAATAGGAAAGAATGTAGGGCTTAAATGGGCCTTTTGAAGGTGGATATGAAAGGCTTCTTGAGTTATCTTGAGATGATTTCGGGGCTTTAGTGTCCCCGCGGCCCGGTCCTCGACCAGGCCTCCACCCCCAGGAAGCAGCCCGTGACAGCTGACTAACACCCAGGTACCTATTTACTGCTAGGTAACAGGGGCATTCAGGGTGAAAGAAACTTTGCCCATTTGTTTCTGCCTCGTGCGGGAATCGAACCCGCACCACAGAATCACGAGTCCTGCGCGCTATCCACCAGGCTACGAGGCCCCCATCCTACGAGGCTTGGAGAGGAACGTGGGGAGTAGCACGGGCTATGGTGAGCCCGTTGGTTTACGCATGTGCATTAAACATTACAGGTGGTTGCAGACTCCAGCAATACCAACCCCATTCGACAACGTCCACCGCCACCTGAGGTAATGTACAGCTCTTGGACTGGACGGTAGAGCGACGGGCTCGCTTCATGCAGATCGGCGTTCAATCCCCCGAGACCGTCCATTAAGTGGTTAGCCGCCATTTCTTCCCTACACTTGTCCCATCCCAAATCCTTATCCCTGACATGGCTTGACGCTTTCCCGCCATAATTCTCTCGCTCTCCCAGTAACTCAGGCGGGATGAAAATATATATTTTTTTACCATAAGAGGACAGGTTACCTTGAGGTTACCTTGAGGTTACCTTGAGATTACTTTGAGGTGCTTCCGGGGCTTAGTGTCCCCGCGGCCCGGTCGTCGACCAGGCCTCGTTGGTCATCAAATCCCTAACCACGCGACTCCCCTGTGCTTCCAGCCAGCCCTGGGCATAACCAAACTTCTTCAGGACAAGGAAATGTAGACGTTTTATCTCTCAGAATGTTTGGTAAAATGTTTATTGTTTGTGATGTGTGTCTATGTATGTATTAACACCATGTACTGAACGGGGTGAGAATAGCTTGAGCTACCTCATCCCTGTGTGGGTATTTTACCTCAATAAACTTATTTCAATTTCAATTTCTTCAGCACACACAGAAATCACAATAGTGTAATGCATCAAATGAACAGATCCACAAGTGCCGTGGCCTTGTGGAACCACATTCGAACCCTCTTCACGGCCCTTGTGGATTTGTTCAAGCTTCTTTCAGCTTTAGTGATGCCAAGCTTCTGTAGAAGCCTGTACCAAGCTTCCTCAGCTTGGGGGGGGGGGGGGGGGATGACGAAGGTCGTTACCTGCTAAATATAACACTGCTCTTCACTAAAAATACCGTTATCTTGAGGTTATCTTGAGGTTATCTTGAGATGATTTCGGGGCTTTAGTGTCTCCACGGCCCGGCCTCCACCCCCAGGAAGCAGCCCGTGACAGCTGACTAACACCCAGGTACCTATTTTACTGCTAGGTAACAGGGGTGTTAGTCAGCTGTCAGGGGTGAAAGAAACTCTGCCCATTGTTTCTCGCCGGCGCCTGGGATCGAATCCCAGGACCACAGGATCACAAGTCCAGCGTGCTCTCCGCTCGGCCGACCGGCTCCCTGCTCCGTCTATGAACCTCCTACATTCCTCCTCCTTTTCAGCAAATTAGATATGAGCAGACTCCTAAGTCAGGTTAATGAGGCGAAATAGTCGGTGAACCACAGGGGTGGGGGGGGGAAGGGTGAGATGGGCATCTTTTACCCATTTACCTTGCTACCTGGACGGCCTCTTGCCTTACCTTCATGGGGGCAGCATCGCCTACCTGGCCCACAAGAACCATACAAGAGTGAGGTTTGTGGATCTGCTGTGATGCTGTGTGAATAGGGAAGGGGGGGGGGAAGGGGTGAAGGGGCACAAGATCTCATACTCGGGGAAGACCACCAACCTATCCCCAGGACACTCCTAGCAACCTATCTTAGGACACTCCCAGCAACCTATCCTCAGGACACTCCCAGCAACCTATCCTCCGGACACTCCCAGCAACCAATCTTAGGACACTCCCAGCAACCAATTCATGGACACTAACTCTCTACTCTGGTCTCTACTCCCCCTCTATAGATATATAGAGGGGACATATATATATGTCCCTCTCTATATATCTATAAACAGATATATAAACGAGACATAGCGGGTGTCGGCAGAGACCTGTAACACAGCTTACGTGTTACTATACCTATTAAGTTCAATATCCTTTATTGTCACTAAGGACTCAGGTCAGCTAAGAGGCAGCTGAAGGCTCCTTCAAGACCTGACCCTCACTCACACCGGACTCCCTGGACGGTAGAAATAGCGTAAACTACTCTATTCTCTCCGGATGTACTTTATCATCTCAATAAACTGGACCTTGAATCTGACAGCCTCCGGACATGAAGGAGGGCAAGCACATGTCACGGCTTCAGTCTTGTAACGCAACTGCCTCGGCGACGTTGCAAGAGTAGCAGATGACGTTGTTGTTGTCTTAGATTTAGCTACTCAGAACCATGTGTCCATGTAGCACGGGTTATGGCGAGCCCGTAAAGATGATGCGTTAGGGGCACTACTCCTCACTCGGGGCACTTTTTTTTGGGGGGTAGAAATAGCCTAAGCTACTCTATCCCTTTGAGATGTATTTATTGCTTATCTCAATAAACATACTTGAACTTGAACTTGATGCGTTAGGCGCTGGTTAAGTACACGCGTGTATAGCCTTAAATCTTTCTTGAAGATCTCGAGGATTATCCTCCCTCTAGCCCTCGGCCTCATAACACATAAGGGATTACATAATGCTCCTTCTTCTTCCTTACAGACGATACTAATTTACTTGTAGCTTTGAGTATTGAAATTGAAATAAGTTTATTGAGGCAAAATCCACACAAAGGGATGATGTAGCTCAAGCTATTCTCACCCCGTTCAGTACATCGTGTTAATACATACATAGACACACATCACAAACAATAAACATGTTACCGAACATTCTGAGAGATAAACATATACATTTCCTGCTTTGAGTATAGTCGATTGCGAGTCCTCTACAACTGGACGCACAATTGCATGTCTCCTCACAACATGACTGCCCATCTCACACATGTGCTGGCAACGGGACTTGCACACTTGGGACTTGCACACCGGACTTCCACAGGTTGCACACTTGTGTAGCAGCTGTGGTCTACCTTATAGAGCCAATGGCATCACTTGCTCTCATAAATCTCCCGACGACTCGGCTCACACAGCAATAGCCTTCTCACGGTGACGTAAGTTGAAATGAACTCAAATTCCCCTAATTGTAGGTGGATGTGACTTACGATCCACTCCCGAGCTCTGCGGCGGGCTTGCCGGCTCCTCCAGCCTCGGAATAACAATTCCAGTTGATGACTGAGTGTTGGGTAAGCGTCGATGTTACTCTACGAGGTAACACATCAAGGTACCTTCCGGAAGCCCGTCTATGGGGTCGTACGACAAGCGGGGTGATCCTATGGGGTCGTACGACAAGCGGGGTGATCCTATGGGGTCGTACGACAAGCGGGTGATCTATGGGTTCGTACGACAAGCGGGGTGGGGTCGTACGACAAGCGGGGTGATCCTATGGGGTCGTACGACAAGCGGGGTGATCCTATGGGGTCGGTAACAGGGAAATCAGGGTTAAAGAAACTCTGCCCGTAGTTTTCCCCGCCTGTGCCTGGAATCGAACCCCGGTCCACAGTACTACATCTCCAGCGTGCTGTCCACTCAGCCACCGGCGCCCCATGTGTGCGTGTGTGTGCTGACCTTTGACCAGTGTGTGATGACCTTTAGCCAGTGTGTGTGATGCAACACTGGCCCAATGTGTGCTGACCTTGGGTCCCCTCCTCCCCCCTGCTGCCCAACCGCCTCCGCACCTCCCCCCCCGTCGCTCTACAACAGCAAGACGCCGCCACCTGCTGCTCTCGTTACCAAGCTTGAGTATTCAGGAGAGCTGACTCCTCCTCCTCCTCTGAGGACCCGGGCCAGCTCATCAAAGGACCGCTGACCGTGTCCTTCTACGCTCAATGGCCCTCCGGACCACGGCCCTCCGGACCACGGCCCTCCGGACCACGTCCCTCCGGACCACGTCCCTCTGGACCACGTCCCTCCGGACCACGTCCCTCCGGACCACGGCCCTCCGGACCACGTCCCTCCGGACCACGGCCCTCCGGACCACGGCCCTCCGGACCACGTCCCTCTGGACCACGTCCCTCCGGACCACGTCCCTCCGGACCACGGCCCTCCGGACCACGGCCCTCCGGACCACGTCCCTCCGGACCACGACCCTCCGGACCACGTCCCTCCGGACCACGTCCCTCCGGACCACGTCCCTCCGGACCACGTCCCTCCGGACCACGTCCCTCCGGACCACGTCCCTCCGGACCACGTCCCTCCGGACCACGGCCCTCCGGACCACGGCCCTCCGGACCACGTCCCTCCGGACCACGGTCCTCCGGACCACGTCCCTCCGGACCACGACCCTCCGGACCACGTCCCTCCGGACCACGTCCCTCCGGACCACGTCCCTCCGGACCACGGCCCTCCGGACCACGTCCCTCCGGACCACGGCCCTCCGGACCACCATGGCCTCCTGCTGGCCTCCTTCGCCACCTTCTACATACACACAATCTCCCCCCCCCCTCCTCTCCCTTCCTTACCTCCGTTATCAATAGCCATTACCAAGTGAAGCCAACCATGCATTCGTCACGTCTACCTTACCTTCTCTCTCCCTCTCTCGCTCGCTCTCCCTTTCTCCTCTCTCCAGGGGGAAATAAATTCAACTGTTTAATTAGTAGTCAGTGGTAGAGTTGCCTCAGGCTCCGACACATGACGACACTTGTACCGCAGGTTGACGCATCCAGAATTCACACACTCTAAGACAAAGTTTTCTTGACGAGAGAGAGAGAGAGAGAGAGAGAGAGAGAGAGAGAGAGAGAGAGAGAGAGAGAGAGAGAGAGAGAGAGAGAGAGAGAGAGAGAGAGAGAGAGAGAGAGAGAGAGAGAGAGAGATGGTGGCAGAAGTGTTGTGAGAGTGCGTCACGTCCCGACAAGATGGTGACACAGTTTACACAATATAAACACTGTAGCAGGTTAGCCAGCTATATTATTCGTAATTATTGTTATTCAATATTAATTTACCCCATTATCGTTCCTGCTGGAGAAGGTCTCTCTCTCTCTCTCTCTCTCTCTCTCTCTCTCTCTCTCTCTCTCTCTCTCTCTCTCTCTTAGAAAATGTAACATTACGAAAAGAAGAAAAACGGTTCAAAAACTCTACAGAAAACAAATATCCGATTTCAGACTTTTTAAATTCGCAAGGGGGTAGGGGGTCACTGTCGGAACTAATATTTCTTAAAGATAAGGAATGTGGACAACCTCGACCAGCCTACGACTGTTATATACCCCTCACGTGTGTCGTCTTGATAAGTTGGGTGAAATGTGCCCCAAGCTTCTAGCAAGGAAATAATTACATGAATATAAAATTATAGTGCATCAATTATTTCACACACACACACACACACACACACACACACACACACACACACACACACACACACACACACACACACACACACACACACACACACACACACACACAAACACACATTTGGCAAAGAATGCGTCAAAGAATGGATCAAAGGTGAGCCACAGAGAAACCATCTGAAAAAAAAAGAATTGAATGAAAACAATGGTTAGCCTAATTTATGAGGCTTCAAATGTCGCCCGGCAAACCTCGACGGAATGGAATCAAGGAGTTTACGCGAAGAAACAACAAAGACATCTAAGACATCTAAACCTAACAGTGTGTGTTACAGGTGACTGTAATTGTAGTGGGATAAACAGATAAACAAAACAGGGAATACTAAGCAAAAAAAAAAAGACTGTTTTGAAATAGTTGATGACTGCTTCCTTAAACAACATATGGATGAACCATCACAGTAAAATAACATTTTCAGCCTTGGTGTTATCTAAGACAGAGATACAGATAACATTATAATGAGGAGTGAGTTAGGGGAGCTGTTATCATAAAGGGAATCAGACTCAACATAGCATTAGGACTCTTGATAGACTGCGGGAGTTTCGGAAGCCTAATTCTGAGGACATAATTAACAGAGGGAAGGGATGCGTGAGGAGAAAGCGCCAAGCCATAATTAAGGAGTTCTGAGGAAGGACAGGGGGGGGGGAGGAGAGGGGGAGGGGGGGGCAGACCCCAAACATGGGAGGAGGGCGGCTCTTGCCACACTATCTACTCTAATATTATTCCACAGATTTTGGCCAAATTCGACAGGTGTTGTTTGGGGCGGTGGTGGCGGCGGTGTAGCCACAGCCTGGCGGCGGCGTAGCCACAGCCTGGCGGCGGTGTAGCCACCACAGCCTGGCGGCGGTGTAGCCACAGCCTGGCGGCGGCGTAGTAGCCACAGCCTGGCGGCGGTGTAGCACAGCCTGGCGGCGGTGTAGCCACAGCCTGGCGGCGGCGTAGCCACAGCCTGGCGGCGGTGTAGCCACCACAGCCTGGCGGCGGTGTAGCCACAGCCTGGCGGCGGTGTAGCCACAGCCTGGCGGCGGTGTAGCCACAGCCTGGCGGCGGTGTAGCCACAGCCTGGCGGCGGTGTAGCCACCACAGCCTGGCGGCGGTGTAGCCACCACAGCCTGGCGGCGGTGTAGCCACAGCCTGGCGGCGGTGTAGCCACAGCCTGGCGGCGGTGTAGCCACAGCCTGGCGGCGGTACACGCCCACTAAGCTACTGTTGAGTAGCTTAGCACCACCCCCGCGTCCCGGGTCCTGCCCACGACCCTGGCTTGGGCTGGAGGCCAAGTCGTGGCGGCGGTGGCTGGGGGGGCGGGGCTGGCCCAGCTGGTCGTGTGTGGAAGCTCCTCCACACCTGCTATTATTACCGCTCAGAGAGGAAGAAAACAGCAACCGGTGTTGAGTAGCCCGTGAGCATATCTGATTGTAAGTGGCCATCACGCCTGATTTACCGCCACAGTTTGGTTTATCCATCAAGAGTTTTACTTTGATCATTATGATTCCCCCTTTGTCAGTAGCCAGGACGACCCCAGGCGATTGGTTGAGGGATGGGTGAGAAGGAGGAGGTGCAGGGGGAAAAGGACGTAGAAGGAGCAGGAGGAATAGGAGAATGACGGAGGAGGAATAATTAGAAGAAATGGGGCTGGTGGGGGTGTTTAGGTATCAGTCACTATAGAAATTGAGGCTTTTCCCCTTGAGTATTGAAATTCTCTGTCGAGCCTGGAGGTGGCTTCTACAGCTTCCTTTCAGTGTGTTCCTTTTGTTGACCAGAAGTGCAGGGCGCGACGTATTTCCTTACACACACACACACACACACACACTCCACACACACACACACACACACACACACACACACACACCTTCGATTCATTTGCGTTTCCAGCTTTTACTTAGGGTGGTGGTGGTGGTGGCTGGACGGTGGTGTACTCACCTAATTGTACTCACCTAATTTTGCTTGCGGGGGTTGAGCTTTGGCTCTTTGGTCCCGCCTCTCAACCGTCAATCAACTGGTGTACAGGTTTCTGAGCCTACTGGGCTCTATCGTATCTACATTTGAAACTGTGTATGGAGTCAGCCTCCACCACATCACTTCCTAGTGCATTCCATTTATTAACTACTCTGACACTGAAAAAATTCTTTGTGTGGTGTGGTGGTGGTAGAGGGTGGACGGGGGGGTGGTAGTGGTGGTAGAGGGTGGACGGGGGGGGGTGGTAGTGGTGGTGGTGATGGTGGTAGAGGGTGGACGGGGGGGGGGGGTGGTAGTGGTGGTAGAGGGTGGACGGGGGGTGGTAGTGGTGGTGGTGGTAGAGGGTGGACGGGGGGGGTGGTGGTAGTGGTGGTGGGTGGTAGACGGGGGGGGGGGGGGTGTAGACAGTAGAGGGTGGACGGGGGGGGGTGGTGGTAGTGGTGGTGGTGGGTAGAGGGTGGGACGGGGGGGGGTGGTGGTAGTGGTGGTGGTGGTGGTAGGAGAGGTAGAGAGTGATGGTTGTGGCATCACCCGTCCGTCAGCGCTGCCCGTCTCCCGGCTGACAGCCTCCAAATGCTTGCTCCTTTTTTTTCTGCTGTTGTGTTATTAATGAGTATAAAATAATGACAGGAGGAGTGGCCACACCCCCTGCTGTGTTTTGACGTGTTCTTGTTAGAGACAGACGGAGAGAAGAATACTGATAAACAGAGGGAGAGGGAGAGAGAGAGATAGAGACAGCTTGATTGCTGATTGCAATAGTCTTATCTCCCGGGTTTAGTGGAGGGATAGTGTCCTCAGATGACTATCCCTGGCGATCTTTAACAAGGTGATGAGCCCTGTGGAGAGACTCATCACCAGCCTTGACTCAAACTGGCTGGCCTGGTCAGTTCATCAATGTTCAACACCAGAGAGATGAACATTGGATAATGTTCTCACGATTCACCACCTATCCTAGGTCTAGCAGCACAAGTCAAGAAGGAGGGAGGGAGGGAGGGAGAGAGGGAGGGAGAGAGGGAGGGAGAGGGAGGAGGGGAGGGAGAGAGGGGGAGCCACCTACCTGCAGAAGCTGTGCCCAGATTATGCAGGAATAAGAGATAATATCAATGCTAAAAAGTCCACATTACCTTCTTAAATAGTAGTGCTCTCCTGATGCACGAAACCTTACTGGGAGGCAGGAGGGGCGTGACCAATTACTACTACCACTACCACCACTACCACCACCACCACTACCACTACCACTACCACTGTTAACTGTGCCTGAGTGTTGACTGGTCGCCTGGCGGTGCGCCCCTACCACCAGTTCATGAATATATTGTTAATAAATTCACACGGGGCAGATATTCCTCTCTGGAATACATTCCTAACCCCAATTAATTCACCATCCGCTTACGTGCATAAATATCTCGCTGGTCGTATTAATTAACAATTCCCCCCGTGTTAAATATTATTAATATTCTTAGTTATGGAGAAGTCTCCGTGGATTATATTTACAAACGTAAATAAAACAGGTTGAATTTATTTAATTAGAATGAGGAAACAATCTATTGATTCATGCCGGGATGTGCAATAACCGGTTGTATTTAGCCAGCGGATCTATTATGCAATAAGTCATCAGTAGTGTATAATATTCATTAAAGAAGAGAAAATAAGATAGATTTGACTGTCAGTAATACTGTGACGAGACGACACGGTAACTGTGTCACTGAGCGACACGGTATGTAATTAGGACAGGTGGGGAGGGTGAGGGAGGGTAGGGAAGGGTAGGGGAGGGTAGGAGAGGGAAGGGAAGGGAAGGGAATGGAAGGGAAGGGAAGGGAAGGGAAGGGAAGGGAAGGGAAGGGGAGGGTAGGGGAGGTTGGGCAAACAGGAGGAACTTAGGAATTTGTAACTCATATACTCCTATATAAATATAGGAGTCAAGTTTCTTATCAAGTCCTGTGGATTCAGCCAGTTATAGACTGACATACTGGGTTCAATTGGCGATTGATGAAGAGAAATTAACATATCAAATTGACATGTGTTAAACTCCTGTTCTTTATAAAATCACTTTGATGAGTGGGGGAGTGAAATGCACTAATTGAGTACTAAGAGGTGGCGCAG